CATATGATCTCTTTTATTTCTGAGGTCACACTGAGATGTAAGGGATGAATCTAGGCTATTTTCAAAAAAAAAGGTTCCCAATTGAAAGTACGCAGAGATATTGTTCAGGCCCGTTTGAGTAGTAAACAGAGTGGGCGCTATGTTTACAAGGAAATAAACCAACAGAGGAAAGCAGATTGCAAAACTCAGTTGTTAGAACGTCAGAAGTCAACTTAAATGTTAATAATGTTTCTTTTTTGACGTATAGTTCATTTAGAAGAAGAAGATAAGGGTCACCGTGACTTGCTGATCTGTATACGTTTATAACTACGGTATTCCTGAGTACTAACTCAATCGCGCAAAATTCCGCGTGGGTATCTAGAAAATGTTTGTCTAAATCTAAGATTTTGCATAGAATTTTACTTTTACTGTAAATTAATACGCCCCCCCTGATCGCAACAGGAAGTTACACATATTGATTTTAAAACTTCCTCATCACAGACAAAGTGTTTTTTGTATCGCTTGAATTTTATCGATTAATAACCATTAAGCAGTAATAATATTAATATTAATAATAACAATTTCTATTTTTACCTTGATTACAAACCAATAATAAAAATTACAAATAAACAGACACAGATTCGCTTATACAGGGATATATATATATATATATATATATATATATATATATATATATATATATATATATATATATATATATATATATATATATATATATATATATATATATATATATATATATATATATATATATATATATATATATATATATATATATATATATATATATATATATATATATATATATATATATATATATATATATATGCCGCAGCGTGAGTTCTCGATCGATAGCTCATGACTTTGGCAGTGCGCAGGATTAGCGATACGGGGAATCCCAATAAAAATATCGACTCCATTTAGTTTCCAGAACGACGCCATGGCGACGAACGTACAATATAAATAAATAAATATAAATTTCATTGTATTTTGAAAATTATTTCGGTCATTTGACTGGTCAATTGAAAAAAAAAATTATACGGTCAATTCCACAACCCAATATTGTATAATATGTCCTATATGCAGAGCTATTGGTTTTTGCGCCTTTATCAGTAACAAACATAGAAAACTAATAAAATAACAAAAATAAAATAATATTCTAGAGTTTATAATTTATATCTTAGGTGGCTGTGAAGTAAGTAGTCACTGAAAAACAAAATGTTTGTTTGTAACTGACAGTGTCATTTATAGATTTAGCAAAACTTATGTCTTATGTTCTTTTTATTATTCTGCAAGAGGAAAACAAATAATTTTGGAAACGTTTGTTAAAGCGAATAAGAGGGCCAATTAACCCCCAAGGGCACGTTCCCTACAAGAAACCTGAAAAATTTGAACAATGTCCAGCCTATCTTGTAAATAGCTTACTATTTTTTGAACAACTTTTGTATTTGATGTTTTTTCCCAAACGTTAAATAAAAAAATTAAAATTAAACATTATGAATGATCACCCGGTACCTATTTTTTTTTCATTTCGCTTTACCATTTTAATAAATTGTATTAAAATATCAATGTCCTATTATTTCATGTCTGATTTATATCGTTAAAAATTATGAGCACTACTTTTAAACGTGGCCCACGAATGTATTTGCATATTAAACTTTGGCCCCAAACACGTTTTAAATGTTAATATATCGTAGAATAGAATCATACTCATAATCATCTCCCTGCAACACACATTGGGAGCTAAACAAAAGCCTGCAGAATGTTATTGTCAAACGGCTCAAGAATTCAAGCCCCCTCACTGCAGCTCGCTGCTTGCAAATGGGAGGGGCCCGGCAACCTAACCCTGTGGGACGCCATTGCAAACTAGTTTTCACGGCTCCGGCAGCTCCAAATTTGACCGACGCTTTCATATAAAAACGGCTGTTTGTACATCGATGTTGGTTTTCAAAGACCGACTAATTAAACCGGGCCATATACTAACGTCCTAATTGACAGATTAATGGATGGGCGAACGCCGAAAGCGGGGAACCGCATCATTTTTTACGGGCCGGTATCGATTTCGTTTTGGACCCGGCGATAATCCATTACACGCTCGGATAGCGCGTGAAGGCATTAAAAAGCCCGAAGGAATACGTGACGTCACGTGACCTTTATAGGTAAACAAACGAACGGCGGGTTTCTCGGAACTCGTCTAATAGAAAAAAAAAAGACATGTACGCTGCATATGGCTTTTTTTAACACGGACTAATGGAACTTGACGAATTCTTGCGTGCTTCAAGAAAAAGGGGAGTATAACGACAGCACCGAAAAGCCATATTCCTCGAACTCCTAATAACGAACAATCGGAATGCAAAATATTTTCCGATTTGATTGTCCTAACTAGGTGTCCTGATTGGCTCGTCGTTCATCATAGAAATTTTTCTGGGATAAGCACGAGAGACTGTAGCAACTAACTTCGGAAAATGTGGTCCAGATGATCTATTGGTTTTAGTTTTTCCTACCCCAGGTCAAAAACATACAACAGGATATTTATGATATGAGGAACTAAGTCGTTATATACTTATAGATCAACTTTTCGATTTTTCAATGGACCAAGATTCTAAAAACCCCGAGAGATTTGGTAAATCAGAGGTTGAGCTGAAGTTCCAACTAAACCAGGTTAGTGCTATTCTGATGGTATGCGAGGCATCTGGTAGAGCAGGGTTTCTATTCAATTTTGGATTATAACAGGTCGAATTTTCCTGGTGCTAATGTTAGTACAGAAAAAATATTGAAATACCTAGCTTTCAAAGCACGAGGTTTAGATTATGAATTTATTTTATAAATTGTTGCATAACGCCTGAATTTGTTAGCGTACATGAATATATATCACGGCTAAATTCTCACACTAGAGACACTTTTCAGTGTGTTAAGGTCAAACTAAATCTGTTAAAAAGTGTATAAATGTAGCATATTCTGCATATATAGCGTATGTGATATATTTAATTGCAGACTGAATGCAATGGAAAAGATATGTTTGTACAACCTCAATATCCATTACGAACTGTTTTAATTGCCTAGCAGTATTTTTGTTTGGATATTAACCTATATTGCTCTGCAAATAGATTATTTTCTATTGAGCAATAAAGTTATTATTACAATTATTTAAACAACTGCCACTAGCGGATGGGGAAGCAAACCATCATAAATTTGGACCCAATAGGTCTTCAAAAACCAGGGCAGTCACGTTTGGATACATGAGATTCCAGAGGTCACCCAGGTGTGTTTCAATAGTAGGAAATAACAAAAATTTTGATAATAAACTAGGGGTTTGGTAAATCATAGGTTCCATTAAACCAGGTACTAACCTCTTGGTGCTAGAGCATTTAAACATACACCAAAGTCAGAGTCGCAGGTGTATTTCAACAGAAACAAAAATAACAAGATTTTGTAAACCAGAGGATGCACTGAGTTTCTTGGTGCTGGTTTATTTCAACATCTGCCGTCATCATTTCGAACGCAGTCTAGGAAGGTCCATCGATTATGTCCAGAAACCTCGACCGTCACCACAATCCGAAACTCCTCCAGGTGCATTTCAACCGTAAAAAATAACAAGTGAGAATGGGCTTAGCAACCAGAACGCCGAAATTAACCAGATGGACACTTCCTGGTGCTGGTGAATTTAAACGTAGTCCAGTTTGAGAATGGGGAACTAAACTGTCATAAATTTGGGGCGAATCAGTTGTAATAAGCCATTAATACTCTCGAAGCAATTGCAGAAACGAGAGTTTTAAGCTCCCTCAAGTGTATTTCAACAGGAAAAAACAACAAGATTTCTGAAAAAAGACTTGGCATTCCGTAAACCAGAACTTCCAACTAAACCATGATAAATTTGGAGCGAACCGTCTAAGTTAGTTGCCATTCGCCAAATATATACACTAACGAGATTCTAAAGATCCCCCCAACAGGTTGCGCTGAACTTCCAACGAAACCAAGTCGGGCCCTCCTGGCATAATACTACCAAAAATATAGTGCATTTATCGCTTTGACGTTTTAAGTACTTTACAGTACCTTAACAGCAGATCTTCGCAGAACCGTGGTAAGACAAATCCCAACAGATGTTTAGTCCCCATTTAGTAGGTCTTGCCTGATATGGACCTTAACCAATATTTGCAGAAACAGTAAATTTGATTAAGCCATTGATGCTGCGGGGTATTTTCGAATAATTAGAAGCACGTATTTTTCTACTTGATTCTCGAGCTTTGACCCTATTTTCACTGGATATTTCAAAGGGTAAGGGTAAGTACCTGTACCCTATTTCGATTTGTAAACAACAAACAACAACAAAGTTCCTGTTTTTTAACACTTTAAAATGTGGAGGCCGTAGAATGAAGCACAATTTGAAGACGAAGTGGAGATGGTAGCCGAACCTAATGACAATTTAGAAGACGCAAGCAATTGAAAAACGGATCCATTTGTTTTCGGATGCTAAACAAATTGTTTTGATTGTTTAAAATTTTATAAGAAACTCGGAAGTGGAAGTAGGAGTACCAATAAAAACAAGTGATATGACCAAAGTGCCAAAGTCAACTGTAAGAAAAATTGTTGCAAGTCAAGAAGAAAGTGAGAGAAGATGGTGGTACTTCGCGGGTTTTTAACCCTGTGTAAAATTTTTTATGTACATGTTTCAAGAATTGCTCGGCAAAAAAGATTGTGAGTGTATGTAGATAAATTCTTAGGACGGTCCCGAAATGGTTACGGGTCAAGGTCTGCTCGGCAGGGTGTTCTATAAGGGCTGCCGTTTTGGAGTAATAAACAGTAGGTGGAGTTAATCACGGGGTCGGTTTCTGTTCCAAACATACCCTGCGGAATCGATCGGTTATATCGCGAAACCCCGCGCATTTTATTTTGGAACGTTGAATGAACCGAACGCACGTCCGTGGGTCGATATATCGGCGGCGCAACGGCCCGACATCAGCTGGTGCGATTGTGTGGGCCGTTCGATTCATAAAACTAACCTGTGATCGGGGGTGGTTCGACTACGGTGCTCGGTCCGAAAAAGGAGGGGGCGTCCCCCGAGGTGGTCACGGGGGTGTTAAGGTCGCCCGGTTGAGCTTCGGGCACGAGCGGCTCGTCGACCGACGTGCACACCGACGCCGGCGTCGGGCTTCCGCCGCTGCTCACGCTACTGCCCGTCTTATAGAGACAAGTGTCGAAACTCAACACGTTGAAGTGGTGAGCGGCGGCCGCGGCCGCCGCACTTTCCGTCAACAGGAACGCGGACGTGTGGTGATGGTGGTGGTGATGATGATGATGGTGCTGATTGGACAGCGTGTCCAAAGTGTCCATGATCATTTTGTCACCGTTTTGTCCACGCGCTCCACTATAACGGTACGTCGCGCACTCCCAGAAAACTTTGCGTGTGTGTGTGTGTGTGTGTCAACTTCCCGCGCGCGCACGCGTCTATCGAACTTACTCCTCCGCGGTCGGTCTCGGACTGAACGTGTGCGCGTCCCACCGGCAACTTTTATGAATGAACGCCGCGTTCCATATTTGGCTGCCCGCGTCGACCCGCCGAACCAATCGCGTTCGATCGGCGCGGCTTCGCACCCCTCCCTCGAACGGGCCCGTTCTCCCACCGCCGCGTCGCGGTGACGTCGCGTGACGTAACGCCGGCGCTCGGCCGGATTATACGCGGAGCGTGCACAAAGTTCCCCGGGGGTTGCGGCGGTGGCGCGTGCCGCATTTAATTGGGACGTGTGGGTGCGTAACACGCCGACTGAACCACTTTTCGGGATACGTGTGGGCAGGTCGTTATGTGTGTGTTTGTTTTCGTTTTGCTCGATCCCGACCCAGACCCGTCGGCTTTTTATATAGCCGCCACGTTGCCGCGCGTCGAGTCGCTAACCTTCGGACGGAACGCTCACGCGATGGAGGCTCGCTCCCCGCTCATTCGTACCACCGCACCACGCAAAGTCCAACAGACCAAGCACCTGGAATCCAGGATTTCCCGAACCAGTGTTGCGGTTAGAAATTGATTTCTCATATTTAATTGTATCGACCACTTTCTTAAAGATAAAGATATCTTAGTATAATTAGTAAATTAATAATAATAATAACAAGTAATACTAATAGATAAATAACAAATATATAAACAATAACAAACAACGAATACGTATTAAAAAGTATCACAAGAAAGAAAATCCTTAATAATAGTTTGACTAGTGATCTCCTTCAGTTCGATAGGCAAATTAATATAAATTTTTACAGTCAAAACAAAGGGACTATTTGCTGTAAGAGACAGTCGATGTGTAAGTATTTTTATGTTAAGATTCGGTCTTAAACTGTACTGAATATCTGAGTTTCTTGAGAGCATATAAAGATTAGAGTCACTTTTTACATATGTGGCACAATTCAGTATGTACATACTAGGAAGTGTCAATAAAGAGTGTTGTGAAAATAGGTCCCGACATGAAAAATTCCAGGGCTTAAACAGTATAGTCCGTAAAATGCGTTTCTGCACCCTAAAGACGTGGGGAACCTCTCCAACAATCCAAAGGTTGAGACAGGAATAGACTTACGCAAAGTCCAACAGACCAAGCACCTGGAATCCAGGAGAAATTGATTTCTCATAATTAATTGTATCGACCACTTTCTTCCTTCGTGTCTTGCTTGACAGCCCTCTGGAAGTCCTGTATTTTTTTAAATATAAATATGAACCTTTCTATATCCGTTTAAAAGATTACTCCGATTTCTATTTAAACAAATTCATTTTCTTCTTTTTGCTGTCATTTGTAACATCTCAGCTTTGAGCGGACTACGGGTGATAACGGTATAGACACTCGCCCATAAATTTTGAATCATGTTGTCTTTTGCCACATGATTCATTATTGTCTCAATCGGTCCGGTATTTCTTTTGCTAATAATTGTTACGAGATAATAATAACAAATTATCACATTTTGGTGATTTCAATCCCTCGCTCGCCTGTGGTTAAACCAGCATTATTGCCTCCTTGGGTAGATGCAAACAGAGGACAGTTCGGGGAGTACGCCACATACGCGGAAGGTTTTGGTTACTTCTTCTTCTTCTTCTACTTCTTGGAGATATGTCGATCTGTTAATTCTGAAGCTGCCTCTGCATCTTTTCCTGTGATGTGGATTAGCAACTATCTTTCCACCTTTTAGTACTATTCTCGGAAGTCTGTTACGTTGTCTCTGTCCCTTCTTGTTTTCCCCACTACGTGGTTACAACGTACTTAAATCATAAATATTATCTAGGCTATTATTTGGTACCAAATAACCGCATTACTATTTTACGAAACCAGAGGGCACAGGTTTATTTTTTTTGTGAGGGGAATATATGTCGTGCAAAACCTAATATAGGTAATATTTGTAACCAAGAGAAATAGCAATGTTTGATTTTTTTTTGTTGATGGCGTACCTTCCATTTAACCTCAACATTTGTTGCGCGGTTAACTCAAGAAATATCCTTTGGGTTAGTGAGTGGTGTTTGCTTTGGCGAACAACACATTTCACCTCTCCTTTGATGTGTTCTTCATAAATAATATTTGAGCTAGCCAAAAGGACCTATCTTTATGTGACCTTCTGTCAGACTCGAAACTCTTCGGGCATATTTTTATGCAGTGCGTACACTGGATTTTACAAATCAATACAGTACAATAAATGGCAAGACAAAATTGAGTGATTGATTGTTGAATGGGTAAGTATATATGCAACATAATATATTTTTTCTACCCCCTTCTATAAAATGTGTTGTTTTGTGAAAATGTACCCAAAAACTAACGGTCGTAGAAAAAGTTTATTAAACACTCGCTCCGCTCATGCCAAGTAAACTCGCTTGTTGCATGGTATACTATTATGAAATGCTGTCCTGCTTGTGAAACAAAATTTAATAAAATCATAACAACAAATATGTTAAAATTATGTGACCACTACGCTTAGATTCATACACCCTAATATCAAATCAGGATTATATGTTTTGTTCCTTTATATATTCAGCATATTATTTAAAAATGTTTTTTGTTGTCTTTTATTTCGTTTTTTTTTTAAATGACTGACATGTTATTTATATTGTTTATTGTTTATACCAGTCAGCATTAAGATCTCTTGATAACCACTTCATTTTGTCCCATTTTTCGAATTCTTTTTAATTATATTCTGTAATTTCTATACCTATATTTCAGTTTTGTTGGCAAAACTTGCGTTAGCTTAGTGTACCCAAAGAAAACATATATAGGGATCCCCAAGGGTTCGGTATTGTGTTCCAAAGTTGAAACTCTTTGATACCTTGAAACTCTAAGCCGAAGCATAGAGCACTGGAAAATAGGAGTGAAATTATCAAAACCGTACTGAGCAGACTGATCCATATTTTGCCTTTCTAACATTCAGAGTCAACCATTGGGGGAACTAGGAGACACACATTGAGGATATCATCTCCATTGGAAAAAGTTATTGATAATAACTAAGGAGCGAAGCAAATGCAAAATGCATTGTTTTGCATTTTTTGTTTGTTTTGACCCGGCACTTGTTTATTAAATTACAATGGGGCCTACTCAGGTACTTTACTGTCGTAAATTTAACACACCGGACGAGTTAACTGTACGTAGAGGTAGTGTTGACGTCATTTATAAGCAAACTCTAAATGATATTAAAAAAAATGTGGATGAAAATTATGTTTATCTTGTGGTTGATGCAACAACTGACTCTTGTGGATATATTCCACTGGGGTTTTAGGTAAAACCAATGAATCCAGTGGTTATGGTGGTAATAATTGAAAAAAAACAACAATTTAAGTGTGACTGGATTAGTTGAAGAAACCTTAACCAACTTTTTCCGACAGAAAAATTCATACTCTTCATCGGTTGTTGCTATTGCCTATATGGTTAAGGTACGAAATTAAAAAATATATTATTCTAACTATTCCACTGGTAAATGATTTAATTGTTCAAGTAAAAATAGAATTTCTTGAAGCACATTCACGTGTTCAATTTTGTGACCAAAATTGTCCGAATACTCACTGGGGAACTTGGTAAGGCTCTGGAAGTTAGAAAAGTTACTGAAGATTGAAACTACTCATCTTCTGTCGTCTAATAAATACACAAACTCATTTTTCGAACCAACAGTGAAACATAAAAACAAATTATTCTTTTTTATCTATAGCACTCACGAAATTGAAAGCTACCTCTGATTTCTGACAGACTCAATAAATCTATTTGAGGGAAGTTGCAAAAAAGTTTCAGGTACCTATGGCGCTGGGGTTATAAAGAAATTTCTATCAGTAATTGAAAATAACACATGCTTTTTACAGGGATTTTCACTAATTTCGAAAGGGAACAGATATGAATGAAGTAAAAATAATTCCAAAAGTAAAATGCGGTCCGATCATTTCTGTAGATATTGAGTGAAAGGGAACTTTTAAATTTATGTTTACAGATAAAAAGTACAATTTTCTCTCGGGATATTTTGAAAAACATTTGGTTATCAATTGTTTTCATAACTGCCAAAAATGTTTTGTTAATTTACGAGATGTATGTTGTGCAATTTGCTACTATCTGAATGTATCAGTAGTATGTTTATATCTATGAACAAAAAAACTTTAGTAACGATTTTTAGATAGGTCTGTGGTATAGATAAAAAAATTATAGGACTTCTGAAGAACGGGACAATTCTGCAAAATTTTATACATATTTGGGTTTTGAGGTTTTTTGCTTGCATTTTTCCACTTCTTAATGATAACCGACCATATACTACATTCTCACAGTGCAATCCTTGTAGATGCGGATGGTGGACAATACGGATTCGGGAGTTAAGGACGGAGAAGTGAAAACTCGAGTCTTTCAAATGACGGAATAGAACGTGATTACGCAAAAACTTCCAAGTTTCGAAAATATAACCGCGTCCGCCCGAAAATAGCCTCTCCTTAAACGCGGAGGTGTTCGGTGACAAAATCCCCATTAAATTTAGACGCAAGTGGAAAAAATAAATAACAAAAACACGCGTCTCCCGGCTATTTTCGAAAAAACATCTGTTGGCGCGCGCCGGACCGAGAAAAATACCGCTCGATCACGTCCTGAAATATCTCTTATGAGTGCGTAATGCGTGCGGATCAGCTGTTTTTGCGGACGGTTTGCCTCCCGTTGGAATCGTCCAAGAGAATTTTTGAAGTTAGTGAAGGAGTTAAATTTGAAGCAACAATTGCGTTCCACAGTAAGTTTAGCCATGATAAACTATGACCAGAGAATCTTTAAGAATTTTTCAAAGATTCATCAAGAGGAGGAGTCCAGAAAAAGTGTGACAGTAAGAAGTTTGTAAATAATGTTTTTTTAATTATTATTATTTATTTAGTTCGTGCCGGGAAGGCTTCGTATTTAGATGAATTTTGAGTAGCTCAGATTGCTTACACGTTTTCGAATTTCGTTGTGGTGCCTCCGTTACAGTTCCTATTTATGTCTCACATTTATTGAAATATTAAGATTTTATTTACGAACCTTGGAATCATGTTGACTTCTCCAGAGATAATGTGAAACTCGCTCGCATTGTACTCTGTACCTCTGTCTTATTATTATTATTATTATTATTATTATTATATTGTATTAAAGTCTGTTCATAGATATAAGAAAGTGACTAACTGATACGAATTAAGGAAAGACCCGGGCAAGCTGTAAGAATGAAATATGGCCGAACAGGTCCGTACTTTTCTTAGAATTTAATTATTTCGGGTTTTGTTAGGAAAAATACTAAACAATATATTTTTTTAAATCTAAAATAAAATTAGAAATTATTTTTATTACCTACTTAAATTACTTAAAAGTATTCACATAATATATCAGTATCACTATCGCTATGATCGCCTGTTCTAATTATTATTTGTTCTATATTATTTGCAATATGGATATACGATTGTCCTGCTTTTTCTATATGTTTAGCAGAATTTGCTCAAGTTTGTGGGGGTTTCTATAAGTTTGAGGACATTGGAGTTCACACGGGGAAAAACATTGTTACGACGAATGGCAGATTTCAGTTGGTGCCAAACATATTCAATGGGATTAAATATACAGTGGTAAAGTGGAAGCCTTAAAACTGTATGCCCTAGATTTTTTGCATAATTATCACAGATGTATTCCTTTTGTAGGTTCAATCTTTGTAGAACCTCAATTAATTGCTTTTTGGTATAATCTTCGTGTTGGTTTTGTGTCAGATGAGGAAGGGGTTTTAGTCAATTTTTGTCAATTTGTGTTTTAGTCAGTCGCCATTTACGAATTCTAAAAGATTCCATTAAAACTTGCCTTTTGTCAATTTTTTAAAATCTAAAACCGATGTGCTGAATACACTTCCATAAGGTAGTTCCATATCCGTACATATAACAGGGTAGAGAACGCGTTTCCGGATCTTGACCTATTTGATCTGATCTTTGAAATCTTTAAACGACACATAAGATGGTATTCCAATTCACATATTGTAATAAAAAGCTGTAATTAGTTCCTAATTAGATTTAGCTGGTAAAAAATAATTTAAACTGGTCCACTGACAAAGTATATCTTTTTTGTCACATTTTTTACTTTCCTTTTATTGGACAGCTGAGTCTGCTTGTAGGAAAGACTTTTTTATATATAAATAAATAATCCCCATTTTTGGCGATACAAGGGATATATATGCTTTCAATTTTCGCAAT